AGTAGGGGTGAGATAATAAATACACACAATATAGAGTACATACACAGTTTTAAAATTACACAGTATTAAAATTAAAGTGACTGAAAGGTGAATAAGTGAGTAAAAGTGAGTAAAAGTGAGTAAAGTGTCGACAGTATAAAAAGAGTGTAGAGTAGTTTATGTTTCTTCAGTCTGTTCCTCTTCTGAAGGCTGAGGGAGTGGAACCAGAAGGCGATGGAGAAGGTCATGATGCTTTGCAGGAAGGCATAGTAAAAAGTCATCATGATGGGTGTGCTGACTCCAAAGGAGTTGAGTTTTCTAAGGAGGTATAGCCGTTGGTGGCACCTCCTGAGAATCTCCTCAGTGTTGTTGGAGAATTTCAGGAGGTTGTCAAAGATGGTTCCCAGGTATTTGTACTCCTCAACTACCTTCACTGGCTTCCCATGGATGGTGGTGGTGACTGAAGCAGCCAGATCCCTCTGCCTACTGAAGAAGGTCACCACCACTTTGGTTTTGCTCATGTTCAGTTCAAGTTTAGAGCTGTTACACCACTCTACAAACTCCTGCAGAGCGGGCCCGTGGTGTTGTGAGGGGCCTGTCAGCAGTGACAGGAGAACTGTCTTGTCAGCATTTTCACCAGGTGACAGTTGGGCTGTGTGGATCTGCAATCATCGGTGTAGAGGATGAAGAGCAAGGGGGAGAGCACACAGCCCTGGGGGGAGCCAGTGGAGGTGGAACGGAGACCGGAAAGAGAGTTGTTGACCCAAACTTTCTGAGTCCTGTTGGTCAAAAAGTCCAATATCCACAGGATTAGCTGATCATCCAGGTGAAATCGGGAGGAAGGTTTAGTGGCCAGGATATGAGGCTGCAGAGTGTTGAACGCTGATCAGCAAATAGAAGTCTGGCGGAGGAGTCAGGGAACTCCAGATGTTTGTGGATGGAGTCCAAGATGAAGATTTTTGCATCATGGACACCTCTGCGTGCACAGTAAGCAAACTGAAAAGTCATGCACAGACAGAATTTATCACATATATCCCAAACAGTTCCTACCAGAAGAACCTCTATTTCGTCACTGTTTAATTTGACAACCACAATTTAATCTTCCGTAAACATTCAGTAAGAGAATAAGGCAGGAAAGTGGAACTAGACTTAGTGGAGAGACAGAGCTGTGTGTCATCAGCATAAGAATGAAAAAGTATGACAAATTACCTACAACTGTGAACTAAAGGTAAAAGAAATGATAAATATAAGGGGGACCAAGGCAGAGCCCTGTGTAACACCACTAAAAACTAGTCATGTGGAATCTTATGACATGGATATAATTTGTGGTCGAAACTCTGAAATGATTGAAGGTAAAATCGCAGTTTAGCAGCCTTACAAGCAGAAAGCCATTAAGGATATTAACTAACTTAAAAAATATTTGTGTTCCATCAACGTGTATCTAAAGCTTGAGGACTGAAAAAATATCAACTGGTAGGTTGTTGAATTTTTCACGTATATATATATATATATATTCACGTATATATATCCTACACCTAAAGAGATTTAGTTCATTCCATTGAAGCGTCGGATTTTGGCATGTCAAGATATTAAGATAACGGTATTTGGAAGAGAACCTGGAGAGAAGCAGAAGCAATACATTTGTGTGAAAAGTGGAGAGCCAAGGAGTAGTTAGTGAAGGTAGATCAGTTTAAAAGTCTGGGGTCAACTATGCAAAGCAACAGTGGGTGTGGGTGGAGATGAGTGTTAACATGAGAATAGCAGCAAGAGTGAAAGCAAAGGTTTAAAAGATGGAGCCCTTCTGTGATGTATGGTGTGGCTCTGACAAAAATACAGAAAGCCGAACTGAAGAAGATGAAAGAAGTGTTTGGATAATTTTCTTATGTGAATTAAATCCTTAAATTAATTTCTGCTAGCAAACATTAGCAAGAAAAAGAGAAATAATGTTATTTCACCATCTTCTGATCGTCTAGGAGTGGTGAACGGATCAAAGTCACTGAAATTCAAAGGACTCCCCCCCACCACCACCACTATGGTCAGCACAAACTGCTAACACTAAACAAACCTTGGAGTTAGACCTCAGTTGAGAAAGACCGCACTCTTTTGCTAATGTGTTGGGGTTTTTTTCTAAATGCTGGTCAAACATTAACATGGATACAGGAAAACAAATGAGTCATAAGCAAGTGTGTCAGGCAGTTCGGTTTGTTGCACATTGCAGTGGACATGTCTATTCTGATACTCATACAGTGGTGTGAAAAAGTACCACCTTACTGCTTACACGGGAATTAAGAGGGTGAGTAGCAGCCAGATGCTGCTAATCAAACATACTTGATTAGCAGCAATCATCAGCAAGTGGAGCGCCTCTATAAAAGCAGAGGTTTCGACAGTTTGCTGTTCTGGAGCATTCAGGTGTGTTAACAGGGTGAATTTCATGCCCCCGTGTTGGTCATCATAATAATGCTGATCCAGGATCAACATTGCAACTGACCAATCATGTTGGCTTTGCAATGTGTGTGTGGTGGAGTCTGCTAATTAGCTAATGTCTTGGCTAATGTTAACAGATTACACAATGTCCTTGGTCAGTTTCTCCTGGACCAACATTGTTATGATGTGGAAACAACACCATCACAGGGATATCCAACTGTGTTGACACAATGGCTAGGAGGAAAGACATCGGCCATGATTATAGAGAAGCAACTGTTACTGCCCATCATCGCGGGAAAGGTTATACGGACGTTTCCAAACAACGTGAAGTCGGTCATACTGTAGTGAGAAAGATTATTCACAAGTGGAAAACACTTGACAGTTACCAATTTCCCAGCAATGGACATCACAGCAAATTCAGTCCAAGGTCAGGTTGTGCAATGCTTAGAAGTTAACCACGTAACTGGCAGCAATGTGCTTAACATAAATTTAGCTCAGATGTGAAAAGACCTCTGGTAGTTGAGAATGCATTTCAAAGCAGGAAAGAAAGGCGCAAAGTGGTCCAAGCTGCCACAGGTGAGGTGACACAAGGTTGATCCAGGACAAACTTGGCGATGTGATAAGAGCTTTCAACTTTTAACTGCCCTAAACCTGTAGCAGTGTGGTCAGAAGAAACAAACAAGAAAACAAAAAAACCGCTTCGCAACATTTTGATTCCTTTTTTGGTCAGATGAGATCATTCAGAGATAAATTTAAAAAAAAAAAAAAAAAAACACAGCAGAGGGGAAGCAAAACAAAAGGTGTTAGATTTCTTAAGAATATCATGCAAGACATCCGAGGACATTACACCCTTTCATCTTCTGATGATAATAAGAAAAACATATTGGTCTGCAAAGGAATTGTGCTCCAGATTCACTTTGAACTGTAGTGGTAACGATCCTTGCAAGCAGCAATGAGCCCGGAGAACCAATGAGATGGGCTGGAATCTGTATAATCCCTTTAGGCACTTATTTTCAAATCTCCAAAGAACAACTTTGACTGGCAACTAAAGCACCACAGCTCAGTTTTTCCTGATCATTTTTCAGTAGACTGCATTTTTCTTTCAGCCTGTGATGGTTACAAGCTAATCCATGTCTGGGAGATGGCTGCAAAGGTGTGCAAGGGCTCAAAGATCAACCTCATGCTGGATTTTCCCTTTATTTAAAGCCAGATGAATACAAATTAAAATACTAGTAAATAACAAATTTCATAAATACGGAGACAATAAATGGCCAGACACCCCCCGTTCCCCGAAAAAGAAAAACAAGAGATCTGCAAAAGAAATGTTTTTCTTTGATTTTATTTCACAATTTGATGCATTTAATGTGTTCTTTGTTATAATACCACACACAAATGTCAACTGGCTAAAACAATATAAAACATAACTTCCACAATTTCCCGTTATTTATATTATGTACATGCACTCATATATTTAGAGGCAAAGAAAGAAAAATATCTCAGGCCATCTCTCACTCTCAAGTGCACTTTCATTTATCTTCTTTGCTGGCTGAGAGGCCATTCCAATGAGGATGCTTCAGTTTTTCCACGTGGACTTGAGTTTGGACTTTTTTTGTGAGCACTGTGGCATAAAATAACTGGGTGGACGGGGCCAAAAACAAACACACAGCAGTAGTTTATAACCTTTACGATGCAACTTTTCTACACAGCATGTTTGGAAGGTGATGACACACTGATGTCAGATGGGCGTAAAGTTTGGTTTGGTGACAGTTTCTATTTCAGGTGTTTGTTTGTTTTTTTAAACACCATGTGGTTTCACAGCAATAACAGATTATCAAGGCTCAAGGGAAGAACCAAAGGCCTGACTCAAGTGCCTTATTACTCCAAAGTCAAGCCATGGAGGTTATGTTTTCAGTGTTCAACAGGGGGTATTTGATCCCTATCAAACTTGTTTTGGGAAAACTCTCCAAATACTTTTAGTGGCCTTGGTGGAAGTCTGCACTCTCTCCCCTCCTGTTGCTTCTTGTTACTCTCCTAAGTGCACGGCTTAGCTGAGCACATAAGAAATGCCAGGATTGTCTTTTAGGTGCATTTACCTTTAGATGGTTTTTGATGGGTCACTGTCAGTTTTCTTTAAGTGCTTTGTGCCAGATGGTATGCCTGTGTATTTGTCATGATAATGAAACAGCGGGCAGAGAGAACAAAGGAAGAACAGTCAGACTCCTGTTGTGCTTCTGCTTTGTCACAGTGAGAGCCCACATTCATGAAACACTATCTACAGTACTCCTGGCCTCTGATGGTTTGATAAAGCGTGTAAGGTTACCAAAAGGGCAAATCTCTGCTGAACATCACACTGAGTGGGTTGGGCATGATGTCTTACTTTTACAGCTCTGTCAGCACATTAGTCACACGCAGTTTTATTCGAGGCATGACCAAAACTGGATATGGATAGTACACATATTACAAATGTCATACTGACAGCAGGATTATCAGTTATGCACTGAAAATGCATAAAAACTGGATTTTTTTTGAGGACAGGTAAAATGTATGATATTACTGAATTGTCAAAAGAAGGGAAAAGAAAAACAGGCTCACTTGTAGCCTGTATCAAAAAATATATTTAGAATATATTTAGAATACTTAAAAGTGGATTCTTATTGGAGTGGTCCTTCAGGTGCTGCCTGCCACCTGTTTGTGAGCTCTCGGTTCAGGCTGCTCAGGCCGGGTCGAGGCCACCTCTCCGCTCTATGTGGGGGCAAACTTCTTGGCCTGCGCCCTTACCCTCTTCTCGTAGTCCATCCTGTTCTGACTGAATGATCAAACGAAAAGAAAGTGATACAACAGCCTTGCAACCACACTAATAACACATCACTGTTTAAAAAACAGGTGTGATTTCCCCTTAAAGCTTATAACAGTGTTAATATATTAATTTTAACTTGAATACATAAGTGACCTTTGGCAAATAGAGGCCTGTTCTTCCTGTAACGAGGCTGGTGCAGTTAAACATGCACACCTGATAATGTAGAGAGCTAGCATTTCAACTTCAGGCGACTTTTGGCTTTACAAAGGGTCGCCACAGCGGGTAGCTCTCCGTGTTTGATTTAGCAGATATTTTTACGCCGGATGCCCCTCCTGATGCAACCCCAAAAGAATGTATATCTCTGGGGATCAGTCACTTGTCAGACTAATTTGCAAACCGCAATCACGTAAAAAGCAAATATGGTTGTTAGTAGTTATCATGTCGCTATCAAATCACATGACATTACTTAATAATATCACAACATTGCTTAATAAAAATAAATAATTTCTTTCTTGATTCTTTTTTTGTAGGATCCACTGAGTAAATCAAACAACCACACTTACCAGTAAATTGTGTAAGCTTCCGCTTGTGCTGGATCTTGAATGTTGGGCTCATTCAGCAGCTCCTGGATTCCCAGAAGAATCTAAAAAACACAGCAATACAACCATAAATACATATAACTTAAAAGCAAAGCAGCCAACTCCAATGCCATTGAATTGAATCATTACTAAGGAACAGAGGGCTGTATAGAGAAATTACAGATGCCCTCCTTTTATGCTCCAACACTGTGAAAGTAATTGGAGTAGTCACAAAAACAAAGCTGCATTCGCGGTGAAGTATGGAGGACAGGACTATGAACACAGGAGCCTTCAAACCTGTTTGATGGTGATAGCAGGTCTCCAGTCTTTGTCCTCCTCCAGGATGGACAGACACACAGTGCCTGATGGGTAGACATTTGGGTGGAATATCGGTGGCTCAAACTTGCCTGAGGACAAATTATTGAAGACAAAGTCGTACAATCAAGCACGGGAACACTGACGACACTGACCACAAAATACATTAGAATCACTATAAGAAACCATCATTATTTGGAACTAAAATCACAAGAGGCTGTGTGAAAGTGAATTTACACAATAGTGTTATTTTCCTTTAATTTTGTCTCAGAGATCAAAAACAGGCCTTTGAGTAAATCATGGGATTGTAGCGCTATCGTAGCACTGTTTCCTAACATCAGAGAGGGAAATTCAGGCATATAATATACAACATGTGATTCAGAAGTTAACAGTACAATGACACCAGGGAATTCTGGGATTGAGCTTTGGTTATACACTTTCAAATCTTATGTTGTGACTAAAAACATGACGCTGTCTTCTATATGTAGAGATGATAGTTATTTATCTTAGAGTCATGCTTTGACCAAAGCAGTTCACTGACCACACCGGCTTCGTAGCCCGACGCTGTTTTTACCGTTTCTGCTTCGGCTGTCTGTAACTTTCCAACATCAAACATTACACCGAGCCCGTCCTTTTTCTAACCATGTATCTTTTTCATTGTCCTAATGGATTATTTCTGCTACAAAAGCTTTTATATTTTCAAATAAAGGAAAACTACAAGTTATTTTATTTGTTTGCAGTGTTTCGTGCCATGGCTATAAACTTTCCTTTAATCCTGTTCTCTTTTTGTCTCTAATGTGTGACTTTCTGTATGAATTTAATGTTCTGCTTTTTTCACTCGCTTCTGTAAACCCTGTTTTTAAAGGTGCTGTTTGAGTTAAATTGTTATTATTATTACATACCGAGAGTGGAGAAGAGATAAGAGGTACTCACATTTGGGTGGAGATGAAGGGTAGTCATCCTTGAACAGCATTCTGAGTTTATACAGTCCTCCTTCCCACAACGTCTAACGAAGAAGAATGAAAACAACTGTGTAAGCAAAGTAACTAACAACATACCAAGGTTATTTAACAACAGCAAAGCAGCGTTACAAAAGTAACTGCATAAACAAATTTCTAAACTGGCGTTTTCGTTCAGCTCATCTTTTTATCCCCATTCTTTGGGAGTACAAGAAAAATACATACAATGTTTTAAAAGCATAATTTCATAGATGTTAACACTAACTTTACCATCACAGTAATTGTCGCCACTACTTATAATACTCTTGACTGTAAAGTTTTGCTATTAAAGCTTGTGAAGAAAAGCAATGTTACTTTTTATTTGAGAAAAGAGTGGCTTGAAGTTGTTTTGATGATTTAGCCTATGTGTAGTACTTCCAAAGAGAACCTCGAATAGAAGCACATTACTCAGTTTTTGTGTCAAATGTATCTGATCAGCAATGAAGACATCCTGTAATTTAGCAGGTTTCTGTCCTGCATACAAAACTGTAGTTATACTAAAGCATAGCACAGATTTCTACTTATCAAAAACACAAGAACATGTAGAGATTTCAGACAAATAAAAGAGGAGACTGTAATTGCTCTCACTGAACTAGGATTCCTGGTGCTTACATGCATGGGCACGTGCAAACGGCTCAGTGTGATCCGGTTTGGTACTAATGTGCAGACAGGTTGGGTAATAAAGTTGCTGAAGGAAATGGGGTTTGCATTTTATGTGTGTGCGAACAAAGTTTGTGCTTAAAATCCAGCATCTTAGAAGGCCTCCTGCTGGTTATTTCCTACTCTACATCCAGCTCCAGGTAACTTACTCCTTTCTTCCCTGGGATGGCACACTCCCAATTCATCAGGTTCATGGTCCCATCTGGATTCTTAGTGGGAACAGCAACAAATCCCTGTGGTTTACATGACACGTAAAACATCAGCTGCCAACCCGAGTCTGGTTTGTGTTAGAAACACTCACAACAGTTAGTTTCAAAAAAACACTGGACATGAAGTTGCTGCAGATGACAGATGCTTACAAAAGGGTGGTCTTTTCTCCAGGCTTTGCGCTCCTGGGACAGTCTGCTAAGAGCGATACCAGACATTGCTGCTCATCAACGCCCCCCTGTGGAAAAACATCCCCAAAACAAATTGATTAAATGCGAATCGTTTAACAGGCGGGTAATGTCCTTGTTTCTACTAAAACGGCGACACATGTTTAGCTTGTTATTACCACAAGTATGACTTGTTTATGAGTCCTGCTGTAACGCAACGGTAAGTACAGGTGAGCTCCCACAATGCTAACAAACGCTACACATGAATCACCTCGCATTACTGTGGGTCCACTGTCTAATAACATCACTTCTCGTAAACTCACCTCGTGTTTTATTTGACTAAATACCAAAAGTGAAGTTATATAAGTCTCAAAGGTGGCTTGTTTGCTTCGCTAATGCTAACGTTGCCCCCGTTACGACGGCGACCGAAAAAAAAACACACCCTTCGACGGTAAAAAAGAAAAAAACAAATACAACCGGGCTAGCTAGGCTACTAATGACCAAACCGGAAGAACAGTTTCTTTTATCAACATTACTAAAAACACTTTACTCAGATTACACTGAAGGAATTTTTCCCACAGTTTTGTAAAACAACGTGAGTCTGAAAACCGTTTCGACTTGCTAGCCTATCGCGAGGAAGGACCCCAATTTGTTTATCTCGTTAGGACCTTCAGGCAGCGTAACGGGCAGCCTAGTGACACCCATCAGAGATGACGTGATGCGTAGTTCACAGCCGTCTAGTGATTTAATCCTTTTGAGTCACGTCCAAACCCAAAATGTATCACCAGTCACGTCACAATTTTATATTTACCTTAATAAAAACTCACCTTTGTCTGACTGATATTCATATCACCTGGATAGCATCGTTACTATCAGTGATAGTTTTATTGTGCACCATCCCATCATTCAAATCAAATCAAATCACTTTTATTGTCACATCACATGTGCAGGTACATTGGTACAGCACATGTGAGTGAAATTCTTGTGTGCGAGCTTCACAAGC